CGGAGCCTGGTCCTGCAGCCAGAGCTCTCGGAAACCTCCAACACTTGTGACTGGGTTTCTTGACATTATCCAGGCCTGGCTATATATTACTGGGATATATAATTAAGGCTCAGAGGTTTGCGTACAGTAGCTGGCTTGTGTAAGACAAGGAAATCAAGGAGTGTGACCAAGAGGGGTTTTTCAATGTGAAAATTGAGTATTAAAAGGGTGCTTAAACCAACTGTGCTACAACCACGAGGGGGGAACGGGCTGCCACGGAAAGGACCGAACAATTGCATTTAAGAACGATAATTATTAAATAAGTGAAGGGATTTGAAGTTGAAATGCATTTCATCCATGCCCTGGGCTGGTGTTGACAGTGACATGGGAGAGCCCTGAGTGGCTACGGGGGCTGGACCCCCATCCCCCCCATCCCTCCCCTCCTGGCCACCACGCCTCACCTCGAAAAACGTCCCTCAGCACACCCAGGGAGATGGCCTTGATGGAGATGATGCAGCTCATGAGCATCGTGAATTTGCAGGGCAGCACAGAACGTGGTGTCCTTTCTCCTGTTAGACACAATGGCAGAGCTGGAGGGAGCTCTTTCTCTCTGCTGCCTTTTTTTGTTGGTTTTCCCATGATCCAAGCGGCCAGACCTAGCTGGAGATCCTGATCTTGTCTGAGTCCTCCCTTCACCCAGGCTGAACTGGACCTGAACCAGCAGGTGCTGCAGCTTCAGAATCACCTGTGGGGTAGCTCCACACTGAAGGGGCTTTGCTCCGTGTGTACCTGAGCCAGGAGAAAGGAGCATGGCCTCCATCAGACACTGGAAAATTGGACCATCCATTCTGGGAAGGGTCTGGATGGTCCATGCGCCACTTCCCTGATGGCTCCATGAAACAGCTGGGTGCTCCTTAGATTCCCCAAGTGGGACGGTGGAACTTGCTCTTTGATGTTACCCCCTTATGAGGTCACTTCCAAAGAAGAAACCACATGGATAAGTGCAGGGGCCAAGACATGGACACATACAATTTCTGCATTAGCAGTATAACAAGCAGACGCTGGCTATTCTTAATTTACTGGGTTTGCGTTGCTGAGCGGTTTAGGCATAGACCCGCTCCTCCCTGGGGGAGGAGATGAGCCGGGATGATGCTGCGTGGGCACTGGGCACCCCGGGGACACGTCCCGTCTCTGTGCTGAGGAGGGAGCAGCCAGCCCTGCAGAGGAGCATCACGTCACCCTGGCACTAGCATCTAACAGCAAAAAAATGCCGAGCGCTCCTACGGGGGGTGTGAATTTGAGCTTCGGGAGGGGGGGTAATCCTCCTTCGTGCACCCACCACCCATCTGGAAAGGGTGCAGGAGCCCAAGCACAGACCTCTGCTCTTTCTGGGGACCCTTCGCCGGGCTCCAGCGTTGCCGCAGCCTGCGCAGGCTGGCCTGGCTCTAACCAGAGGGCCGCTGGCGGCCGTGCCTGGACTCTTTCCAAAGTTCATTTGCAAACGAGTTGTCAGCTCCTCACCAAAGGGTCCAACTCCGCAGCAGATCTCCAGCACGAGCAGCGCTTATGTAAACAGGGCCTTTGATGTCAGCGGGGTAACTCACATCCACTTTCGCTTCTTGCCTCGGTTCTTCAGGAGAAAGAGTATTAACAATTGCCAATTTATTTCAATTAGTCAGCATCTCTGTGCTTGCTAGTCTGGACGCTCTGCGAGCACTTGTTCCAGGACACACACATGTTTGGCTAATCCTGAGTAAACCACAAATATTTGTTTCTTGGAGCAAACTATTGTGAAAAACTGAAACTGGCTCACGCAGAAGAACTCATTAGCTTCAGTTTATTGGCAATCCCTTCATTAACGTGAGGCTGAAAAGGCCAGAGGAGATGCACACACCTTTAAGAAGCTGCAGAAAGTGGGAGGTTTTCAAAATTGTGTTTTGTGTGATTGAAAAGCACTCACGGACGACAGAAAGTCAGAGTGGGGCTGAGGACCTGGCAGGCTGAGAGGCTGAGCACGAAGGCAGTGCTGGAGCAGGGATCGGGGCAAACCCAGGAATTGTGCTCATCACTGAAAACCGGGGATGCTGCAAACAGCCCTGACCCAGGGCCAAACCATCTGGGGGACATAAACCAACCCAAAACTCCAGTCCAACAGGACCTGCCCTGTGGTTTCATGCTGCTGAAGCCGCAGGGCTCCAGGTGGGACTGAGGCAGAGCCAGTGGCCACCAGCACAGCTGGACACATCCCAAGGGATGCTGTGATCCCTCCAGCCCCATCCTGGAGCCAGGAATGTGTCCCAGACAACGGGGAAGCATCTGAAAAGTAACGACATCAGTCTGTCCTTACAAGCTCAAGAAACAGCTGGGTGAGGACATATCCTCACAAGCCTTCTCATGTCCAAACTGCCCCTGATGAGAGAGGTTAATTAACAGAAAACCCTCCTCTTCTTCAGCCACTCCACCACCACACCGCGACCGACAGGGGCAGCTGGGAGGAGGAGGAAGGGCAGGAGGGATCCCGGCACAGTCAGACTGAGTCGTAACTCACAAAACCAAGATAGAATTTGTTTTCTAACCCTTTCCTGCAGAGCTGCCTGTGAGACCCCATCCCCAGAGCCCTGGAGCACATCCAATGCCAACGCCGCCCCTTTCAATATGATTTTTGCAGTTTACTGGACCTGAGCTCCCACTTTGGGGAAAGGAAAGGATTATTCGCTGGCTCTGCTTCAGAGACGGTCCTGTGAAGGTGTGATCTCCAGCCTCGCAGGACCCGAGCAGTGATCCCAACCACAGAGCATGCTGCAGGCATCTTTCCTACTCTATTCTCTCAGCCTTGAGTTTTTGCTTTTTAATTTCCTGTGGCCGCGGAGCACCATCAGAGGGTCTCCCAGGGACGGCGTTTCCCACACACCGTGGACTGGGTTGGTGGGGAGACACACTGAGTTAAATCAATACCTGCAAGGAGAAGGCCGTTTCACGATGGATTATCCAAATACTTCAAGCTACAATCAGCCTTTGAGCAAAAATAGCCCAAACACTCCAGGGGAATGGGAATATATAACCGGGTGGCTGCCAGCCATGAGCTGAACCTCACAGTGAACGAGGAAACACGATTGTCTTGCAGGAGCAGCACTGTCCTGCTTTGGGGTGTGACCTTGCAGGTACACGGGGAGCAGGCACCAAGCTGACCCCGAGAAGCCAGCACAGTGGAGGAAGCTGCATTTTGGGCAGCTGCTCCAGCCGAATCCCAGAATCATTCAGGTTGGAGAAGACCCTCGGGATCATCGAGTCCAACCCTCAGCCTGACTCTACCCCACATCCCCCACAGCTCATCCCAACGGCCCTTAAACCCCCCTCAGGGATGGGGACTCCCCCCTCCCCGGGCAGCCTGTTCCACTCTCGGACCACTTTTTCTGGGAAACATTTTCTCCTCCTGCCCAGCCTGACCCTCCCCTGGGGCAGTTTCCAGCCGTTCCCTCTTGTCCTGTCCCTGATCCCCTGGGAGCAGAGCCCAGCCCCGGCCTCTCTGCAATGTCCTGTCAGGAGCTGCAGAGAGGGATGAGGGCTCCCCTCAGCCTCCTCCTCCTCACACTGCACACTCCCAGCTCCTTCCCTGGCTCCTCACAGGATTTATCCTCCAGGCCCTTCCCCAGCCTCGTTGCCCTCCTCTGCACTTGCCCCAGCACCTCGGTATCCCTCTCGTATTGAGGTGCCCAAACCTGGACACATCCCTGGACTGTATCGGCACAGAGCAGCACAGCTCCAGCAATGCCATCACCTAGAAAAGACCCAAACCCCACACTCCGGCGAGGTGTGTTCAGAGCAGTGTTGATGATGCTTTTCACAAGAAAAGGTGCCTTAGGCTGAGTTTCCTGGCCCAAATCCAGCGCCTGTCATTAAATCTCTGCTGTATAAATTTACTGGTGAAGTTCCAGCTCGGTCAGGGAGCCTGTGCATCCCCTCACCATGGCCCTCAGCATCCTGCACCAGCACACACCAGCAGCACGTGTGCAGGTGGGGAAGAGCTGGGGAGGTGCAGGAGCATGGAGCTGGCTGCCGTGGATTTAGGGAGGTACATGAAGGCGGGGGTCAGGGTTCCTCAGCATCACTGGGCTCCCCTGCCAGCTCTGTGGAGAGCGGCGAGTCGGCGATGCTGCTGAGACAGAGCAGGAGATGGAGTTCAACCGGGGTTCATGGCTGATTTGGGATGTATTTGAGAAATGCTGGGAATCCTGTCCAAAAATAAAATAAATAAAATATAAGTAAAACAAATTAGTAAAATGAAATTAAATTAATAAAAATAAAATGAAATTAAAATAAAATAAAATAAAATAAAATAAAATAAAATAAAATAAAATAAAATAAAATAAAAATTATTAAAAAATGCTTCTGTAAGGAAAGAAATCCCCTGCAAGGCAAAGCAGAGCCCAGGACAGTGCCACCTCTTCCCACCTCACGCAGGTTGCAGCCAGTGGCAGCTGAACAAAACCACACAGGGCCGGAGCCCCAAGGGAACCCCGGGTGTGAGCAGCACGAGGCCAGACCTCTTCGTGGCATCAACAGAGCCAGGAGGTCACTTGTGAGACTGCCTTGGAAGCCATTTATTCACTATTTTTATTTTATTATTAGTGTCGCACAGCAATGCACGCGAAAGGCTCTCGCAGGTCCGTGGGATGCCCCAGAATTAATGAGAAATTGTGGCTCTACAAGCCCTGACCTAGAAATGACGAGCGTTTCAAAGCTGTCCTCCTCTTTTCCGAGCACTTTTGCCTCTTTGCCAGGCAGGGATCCTCAAACCACCACGGCTGCACAGCTCCATGCCATAGCTGGACAGCGCAGCTCTCCAAGCTAAGTAAGTCAGTGGGGATTTTTTTTTCCTCAGAGTATGTAAATAAATATCAATATTCTAAACCAAAGACCTCCCAGTAGCTAAATATTATTTATCTTTAATTTATCTTAAAACTAAACAGCTTTGTCACATATGTACAATAACAAAGAAACAAATTCAAAGGAGGAATTTGGTTTTATTGTTTTTTTTCAAACTGCACGCATCGCCTATCAATTTCTAACAACAGATTTATCACAGCTCATTAGAGACACTGTCAGAACTTGGGGTGAAGCTCATTTCACTTCCCCACCAGTAACAGGAGCCACCACAGCCTGGCTGGTTGTTTTAGTTTTATTCGTTCCTCACAACTGCGACCATTTTCAAACCATATCAGGGAAATCCGGCGCTTTGCTGGGGAAAGGCACCTGGAAGCAAAGAAGATTTGAGCACGTTGTCTGAATTTGTGTCTTTTTAGGTACTGATATCCCAAGTATGGCTACCGACAACAAACCCCAACGTCTTATCTTGCTTCCTGCAACCAAGTAGCACATGACAGCACACTTGCTAAGGATTAACCAAAAAAATACCCTTCTTATTTTATGGACATGAATACTTGCATGGCAGCTAGTGGCATTTTGCATCCCAAATATCTGGGAGACCACACACCTCGCATATACATCCGATACAGATTTTGGCACACATGTAGTCACTCATGTGCCGCCGGTGTCATACGAGCAATGCACTCAGGCATTTCAGAGGCGTCAATCTCCCCGGAGCTCTGCACCCAGAGCTGCTCACAGGGCATGATGGTGCACGTTGGGGACACTCGGCAGAGCGAGAGGCCCTTCTACAAGCCTTAAGCAGGTTGAAAACTCCCTGCCGGCACTGGAAATCTGTCTCGGTGAGGATCACAGGCTAAAAACAAAGACTTTGAAACCACGGAAGAAATTATTTTAAACCTTGTCAGCGGGATCTGTGGCTCTTGGAACAACGTTTGCAATGAGTAATTGTAGCTACAAAAAAAAAAAAAAAAAAAAAAAAAAAAAAGGTGAGCATAGCTTCAGCTGAGCCCAGCTTAGCAAGAATCCTGCTAATGCCGCTTCCTTCACCGCCGGCAGCTCTGGCCGGTGCTCCGGGCGCTCGGCCAAGCCACCCGCCCCCGATCTGGCAGGTACGGGAGCGTTGCAACACAAAAAATGGCTCAATCCTGCAAGATGCTGAGCACTGACCCGGCCTAGCCAAGCATTTAAGCACATACTTTGCTTAATGATGTGAGTGCGGACCTCACTGGGATTTTTTTTGTATTTGCTGGACCAGTTTTCAGCAACTGCAGGTCCCAGACCTGCATCTCAGATGGGGAATGGTTCTCCAGCATGCAGCAACACTTTTGCTGGATATGGCCGCTAGGTTGTGGGTGCCAAAAGGGCAGGTGGGTCCAAAGAGCTGTTGGACGAGCACAGAAGAAACACCGAAATGCAAAGCTGTGACTGCTTGTTGAGCTGCAACTCCAATGAAACAGCAGCAGCAGCTTACACTGCTCTCACCAGTGTCCCTTGCACTTGCCACCGGTCACTGGCAGAGATGGAGGTGCCAAACCAGAGGGGACTGCCCTGGCCTGGCTGCTCTTACGCTGTTTGAAGTGCTGAGATGTACAGATCTAAAGGAGGGAAGCTGCCGGGTGCAGGGCAGGCTCCCAGGGCAGCAGCCACCAGCCTCAACTCCCATGGGCTTGGGGAACACTGACACGTGCAGGTGGTCTCTTGTCTTCATTCCAGTTTGTTGTAGTTTCTAGAAAAGAATTGTTCAAAACTTTTTTTGTTGCTGGTTTATCTGCTACATCCTCATGCAGAGGCAGCAATGGCAAAGGACAAGCACAGGCACCCAGGGGGATCTCAAGACTAAAGGCCAACAAAGCTAAGACACTCTTCTTATAAAGTATCTTGTCTCAGGGGATTTGTGAAATCAGGGTTACAAGGAATCGGGGGTACCACTGAAATATAAAATATTGGTGGACGCCGTATTGAAGCGTTTTACATCTTAGTTACACAGAGGCAGCAGCTTTGTCAATAAACTGAGCCAGCTTCACATCTCTCTTGGTCAGTCCACCGCAGTCATGGGAAATCAGGGTTATCTGAACCTGTCAAAAAGGAAAAGAAAGGGGTTACAAAGCTGTTTTGATCTCTGCCACGCAGGCTGAGCAGCAATTCATGGGGAACGCTGCGTGTCTCTGAAGTGAACTGGTTTTACGCGATGCTCCCGGCAGGCTGGACACTCACTGCTCACATAAAGCAGAAGACGTTGTAGGTGAGGAGGTTTAACAGAGCCTGAAGTCTAACCAAAGCAAGCCCCGTCACAGAATAAAACAGGCTTTGCATTTTTGGGTTTCATCCAAGAAGAGACGTCCGATTAAATAACTTGTTCTTTACATTTAAATTCCACGGATCGGTTTCATGAAAAACCTGGGCCAGTGACCAAGCTGCCAACAGCCAAGTCAGGGGCTCACGCGTTTTGTTAAAAACCAGCACCCTGAAGGTGAAAAAATTGTGAAGCTTGTTGCAGATTAATTTCAAAAAGAAAAACAAACAGACTGGTGCATTTTGCTATGACGCAGCTGCCTGCACGGGTTTGTTTAGACTAAGCCAGATGACAAGCTGGGCGTTACTTTGTCTTGCCTTTGACTGAGATTTTGGGAAGAGAGAAGAGGGAAAAAAGGATAAATTCTGAATATTCTGGAAAGCTTAGAAAATCACGAAGAGTAGGTGCTCAGGACTTTGTCTGGTGATCATTTAATGTGGCCTTAAACAGGGTGACCTAAAGGGGTGATGAGGAGGAGCCTGTGCTGGGATGTCCTGCTCTGGGGGTGGTGGTTCCCAGCCACGGGCTGCTTGTCCACATCTCTTTTTAGTATATTTTTAGCTAGATCGATATGTATTCACCAAATGTTAAAACAAACAACTCAAAACAATGCAATGAGAAGTATGAGAAAATAAAAATAAAGGGAGAGCCATAATTTCCCTTTTCACATAGCACCTTTCATTTGAGGGTTGCAGTGCAGCTTGTAACCCTTCTAAATACAAGACCACCATCAGTTAGGCAATATTATAAACAAATTTTATAAGCTGAGACATAGGAGCCTACAATTTTTCAAAAACTTAAACCTCAATTGAGACTGCCAGGCTCCTATTTAGGCACCTACACATCGACAGTCTGCTACCCTACACCACTGGGCTCCTGATTTGTTGCACAGAAAGGAAGGAGACCTGGTGAGTAGTTTCGAAACAGTAATTTATTCAGGCTGAAACAGGAGTTTAAAGGCTTCATTTCTATTTTTAGATGTCAGCCAGAGAGGTGAAGTGACAGGTCCAAACCACGCAGCCGGTAGCAATCGCAGAGAACTCCATTCTTGGTTCCTTACCATTACAAGTATCTCAGCATCTCCTTAAAATCTCAAATCTCTTTTTATAAAGATCGTCACCACCTCTTTCCATCCCCTTATCTTGTACATAAGCTATAAAAAAAGGCAGAGAGAATGGGCCAGTGGTTTGATTTCCTTAACTTGCCAAGCCTGCAACTAGGGCTGATGAATATGTTACCTTGCTGTAGACATTAAACCATTCTGGGTGGTGATTCATCTTCTCTGCTTGTAGAGCAACGCGCGTCATAAATCCAAAAGCCTGGAGAGAGAAAGAGCAAAGAGGAAAATACTCGTCCATGTGCCAGGACTGGCAGTGGATCTGTAAGATTCACTCCAAAATCTCAAAAACTCCTACAGATGCTCCAGATGGTTGCACCTCGGGTTTGTGTGGTTTAAGGGAGAATTTCACCTTCTCATGCCACCGATGCATTTCCTCAGGCTGTTGAAATCATCCCCTTCAGTCCCTGGTAAATCACTCTGCTCAGTCTTACTTCAGCATTCAGAGCCACTGCACGAGAGCAATGACTTTACCTTTAGCATCCAACAGTGATTTTAAACATCCATCCCAAACCCCTCATCCCTTACTGCATCTTAAAAAACATGCCATTTCTAATTAAGCATCATGCCACAGTATTATTGTTACCACTTCCAGAAACACATCTTTTCGTGTAATTATTTTGCTATTTATTTCACTGGGGGGGGAAAGGTGGCAGGTGGTTTTGCCCCTCTGCTTTATGAGAAAATATTTTCACTTAAAATGAGTTAGAATAGTTCTCCCAGTCCTCTGCCCCTATATGCTGCACGGCATGGTCCCCCAGGATGCAGCTTTTATCACAGGCTCAAGAAGAAAGTAATAGCAGGCTCTTGCCAAAATACTTAGGAGCAAATCACTGCACTGTAAAGAAAATTAGAATGTCCATGTAAATCAAGAATGCAATTACACAGCAGGGCCCAAAGGGCCCCAGTGCGTGAGCAGGACGCCTCTAAGTCAGCGGGCTTTGTTCATACCGAGCTCCATCCACCGGGGCTCAGGGCCTGAATTAACATGCAAAGCTAAAGTAACATCCACATTATAGTCTGGTTTGTATTATAATACAAGCTCAAAAAAACCCCCCTACCTGATTTAGGTAGTTTTTTAGTGCTAATTTATGGAAGAGAATGTATATAGCCCACATTCCACCAAGCGATGGCCATTTCAAACAAACATGTGGTCAATGAATAACATATAATGGTTGATAATAGTTTCAAGTCTTTTTTCCTCTCACAAATTACAAAAACCTTTAAGTAAAAAAAAAGAAAAGAATTGATGCCTGGATGAAGTATGACTTTGTTAGACGCTTTGCCAGTCAAACGAATGCAAACGTTATAATCAGAGAAAATCATTCCAATGAGGTTTGTCATTTGGAAATCACCAAACTGTCAGCAATTAAAAAGCTTTTTTCTTTGACCCAAGAGTATTCCAAAATTCAGGAAAATCTAACTTCCCTTGAAGCTCTTACTCGGTTTAGTTTTACTTCGAGTGAACAATTACTTATAAAAATTTGCAAATGTTTCAGCAGCACGCTTTGAAGCAGAAAGCTGCAAGTTGTACATTAGATGTTAGCAATCATTTGGAAAACTCGTGCATTAATAATGCTGAATGCTGTTTGATTTAAATGGTTTTAGAGTGTCTGTGGGTTTAACAGGAATGCTATTTCCAACACAGCAATCGATACACAGAAACGTCCCCAGAAGTTTAAAACAGCAACGCATCTGCAACTAGACTGTCTTTGTAAAAACAAAAAAGAAGGGGAAAAAAAATAGATTAAATTTGTGAAAACTCCTACTAGGTTCACGTATGCTCTGCCAGTGTCTGTGTGTCCATCCCAGGAACTCACCCCCCATGTTTACACACAGGCTACACGACACAGAATTCACTGACTGTGAGACAACAAGTATCGCTCCAATGGGAGGCAGCCAGAGTGAACTACACAAGCAAATGAGTCTCCTAAATTAAACTGCTCTGCAGACCTTCCTTCACGCTTTGTGATGATAAATCCTCCCCATCAGTGGACCACCAAATCTTCCCAACCAGTGGACCACCACAGCAACCCACCACCTCTTCCCCTGCAGACAGCAAAGTCTCCAGCTGGAAAAAAAAAGGACATTGGGCTTAAAGCTGTTCATCCTCCCAAAGAGTGCTCAACTTGGGGCTGTCCGGGTCACGAAACGGAACTAATCGTGGTGCAGGGACCCTGCCCTGGACAGGACCCGCTGCTCACTGCTCCAGCCGACCACAACTGGCCCAGCCAGAGCGGAGGGCAAAGCACACACACCCAGGAGACATGTGCCCGCCTCCCTGCATGCCCTGCTCTGCTCAGAGACGTTCTCCCTCATTGCACCTTACCCAAAGCAACTTACTGCTTGCATTTTAGTTTATTTTAATTACACACAAAAAGTATCTCCCACTAAGAAAATGAGCTACGGTTCTACCGAGCAATTTCACCAATGCAATCTCCATTAAGGTCCTAAATACTTCCTTTGCTAATTAAATGAATTGGAATGCTATTGTTTATGAATCACCTTTATATTTGTAGAGCCTTAACCTTTCTTTGGGAAAATACAATTGGGTCTGGAAGGAAAAGATATTTAGGTTTGATTAGATATGAAAACACTATTACATAAGATCAGTTTGGACATTTCTTCACGTCTTGAAATTTGATCAGTAATTTGGTCTAATTGGTGATCAAGGAAACTATCTTGTGATCAATTAAAGTAATTACCACATTCCGGCAACACAACCAACCTTAATTTGAGCAGGAGTCTGCACTTCTTCAACTTTAATTAAAAATAATGAAAATTATTATGCAGTCTGCAGTGCAAGATCATTGTCAAGACTGCACCGGTGAGCAGATTTTATCAGACCATCACACATTTCTTGATGAAAGTGGGACAGGCACTTTACTCACGACAGTAAGATCCAACCCAGTCTTGACTTTCACTATATTAATAACAGAGATCTGCAGCCCCTTGGCCACTAATAAGAACTTTTCCAGATTTTTTCCTTCAAAAATAAAAGGAGAGGAGAAATAAAGGATTTGTGCATTTTCTAGAAGCCATAAAGAAGTATCAAAAGAGGCTCTGATATATTAAATATTATAAAGTATTCTGATATTTCAGTAATAGGCATATTAGATATTTTCAACCTAATCCTTTTAGGATATTTGAGCTAAAATAACATCCAGACATACAAGTTACTCTAGATAAGTACACTGTGTCACCCAAACGACAACAGACTGCAGAAACGAACCACGAAGAGCAACAGGAGCAGAAATGAGTGAATCCTCCACAGACAAGGATATGCCTTGGGTGTGCCAGTACATCTCTTCCCCTCATGTCTTTTAAGATTGTGAAAGAAGGAACTAAAAACTAACGGTGTTTCAGTTCACTTCTAAAATGTTTTTTATAAATACTAGCAGCCATGGTACGTCTCCATGAGATAAAAATCAGGGCTACTCTTAGAAGAACAAGTTAACCTAATTTAAAAAATAAACAAACAAACAAACAAACCAACCAAACTTTTAATAATTCATCTGTCACATAATGTTTTGGGACTGGCCAAACTGCTTTTGAAAGTGACAAAACATGCTATCAGAAAATAAAACTTAATGCGCCTTCTGTTGCCTGAGAATGGGAAAACCAGGGCCAGACACTTTGCTGTCAGAAGTGGGAGGAAAGATGAAATTCCACCCGGCCCTCTGCACCGCACAACGCTGCACGGCTCCAGGAGAACTGCGGGATCCCGGAGCTAATCTGCTATTATTCTTCCTTTCACACTTCTTAAGCAAGGAATCAATTCATCTTAATACTTTTTAAACATGCTGCTTTTGTACAATGCTTGCCAACATTATCTTGATGAGTTACACATCAAAGGAACACAGGTCGATATGTCGTGCTAATACATCACCCACCCGCGAGTCCCCAGTGATGGATTACCCCCGTGCATCTCCAGAACAAAGCAGCTGACAGTACTTGACTCAGAAGTGAAGATATTCAAGAAAAACAGCTGAAAGGCTCAACAATATAACCATAGACACTTTTTAGTTATTTGTTTTAAAATGCGTACGCTACGAAGGGCGTACCCAAGCTTCTTAAATCCGTCGGACACTCAGCCAAGGAAACCATATGCTAATCACAAGTACATTAAGGTTTCTGCCTCCCATCTGTCATTATAACGCCGAAGGTAGCATTAACCTTGACCTTTGGCAGTGCGAGGGCTACCTGTCTTCCCTTCCCCACCCACTCGGGCTGCATCGGTATCATTTATCAGTGGGAAACGAATAAAGAAAACAAGTTATAGTGACATTGTCACACAAAGCAAGGGATGGTGACGCCTCACACATTTGCTTTCCATTCACCGGAGTAAAAAATAACCAGTATACAGCAAGTGTTCTCCTTAGCAGTTTGACACTTAGAACAACAACAAACTCAAATCATTAAGGTTTATTTCCAAACTGCAGAAGTTTTCACATATCCAGCTGATTTTACCACCTAACAGTAAGCTATGGGCCAGCAGACAAAAGGAAAAATCTCTCTGATGTCAAGCTGTTTTCACACAGAATCATCCAGGTTGGAAAAGCCCTTGAAGCTCCTCCAGTCCAACCATTAACCTAACATTGACAGTTCCCAACTCCCCCAGACCCCTCAGCGCTGGCTCAGCCCGACTCTTCAACCCCTCCAGGGATCCCGGGGACTCCCCCCTGCCCTGGGCAGCCCATTCCAACGCCCAACAGCCCCTTCTGCACAGAAATCCTTCCTCAGAGCCAGCCTGACCCTGCCCTGGGCAGCTTGAGGCCATTCCCTCGGGGCCTGGCGCTGGGGCCTTGGCTCCAGAGACTCATCCCCCCTCTCTGCCCCCTCCTGGCAGGGAGTTGCAGAGGGCCAGGAGGTCTCCCCTCAGCCTCCTCTGCTCCAGACTGAACCCCCCCAGTTCCCTCAGAATTTTAAATTATGTTTATCTAGTCATGAGGGTTTAACAAATCTTGTAACTGTAGTGCTCTCAAGAAAAATGCAGGGTTTCTTTTATTTTAATTCTTTTTACTCCATTAAGAAAGACTTTTACCTCACAAATAGGCAGAAGTGATCACACAAGGCCACACTCTTCATCTGAAAGTGACAACATGGTTAGAACACAGAAAAAAAGAGGAATCCAACTAGTATTTAGGAAGGTGATGGCAGCACAGGAGGACTGGTACTCATTCTCAAAGCCATGTGCCCATT